CACACACACACACACTAGAAAACAATCAATAAGCAACATATTTATATTGTAATATTTCATACTTATTGAGTTCCAGTTGTTATTGTAATTTAATGTATTTACAAAATGTATTTGCATATTTTGTCAGAAAATCTGGAAAATGGAAAAATTTCTAATTGTTTTTCATTTTGTCCCGTTTAAAAACCTCCGTCAGCTCCTTGTTTAGGAACACATCGGTTTGGACATCACTTTTTAAATTTAAATTAGTTGTTTTTTATCTGACAAGCTCCCACAATTATCCACAATATTGTTATGAAATGTGTCGGATCATATCAGAAAACTGTGAACTAGGAATACTTTACTTTTCATTCCACTCGCCCTATTGTTAGAACATTTCCCCTTTTTCAGAAAAATAAAATAAATCATGTGTTTAACCCAGAAAATTCCAGCACATTGATTATAATCAATTAAAGGGACTTTGAAATTCATTTTAATGTCTTTAAAATAGACCCTTTTATTCTATAAGTTCCAAACTGGAAAGCATTTTTTGTTGCGTGGAGTGATTTCTGAACAAACATCACTTCACCTGAGGATACTAACCCTCCACGTGCTCTTGGTCTCCTCCAGGTTACAAGACTGCGTAAGAGAGTGGAGGAGCTCAGTAAATTGTAAGTAACACTTTAAGGTTTGCTGCACGGAACATGAAAGTATGAGTTGCTCAAAATAAAAAAGAAAAACACATCTTTGAAAAAATAAAACCTAAAAAGCCCAAGAATATTCTTCCACCACGATTCTTTAAAGAAATGCATGTCGCCCGTCGTTCATGCAGGTTTTTAGACTGAGACGTTAAGAAATGATGAACCCAGAAAATAATGTGCACCATCTCATGTCCTGTGTGAGATCTTGCTGCACTCGGTGCATGTTGTGCACGACTCTCAGCTGCTGCTGTACGCTCATGACAGAACCTGAAGCAGACTTGTAGGCTCTCCTTCACAAAGTCCTGGGGTCTGCACGGCTTCAGACAAGACAGGCTGTCCCTTCAAAACTGGCAGTGGAGGAACAGAAAAGACCGAGTTTGAATTATGTCGTTAGCTTGATAACAGATATGTGTTCGATTTTTAGCAGCAGAATCTTATCCATGAACCTTAAAACCAGGCGGCTCAAATAGAGTCCACTGTGACACGTGCGCACGAGACATGGACTCTCGGCTGATCTCATAAAGAAGAAGTTGTTAACAAATGAGTGCGGTCACACATACAACCATGTGCAACAACATCACCCTCTTCAACTCAATAAGTTGAATAATTCAGTATAAACTTAATTATGCGATCATTAACTCCATCGACTTTTGGATCATGCAGTCACCGCATGTTTTCACATAAACTGGGCTTAACGTGATGAAACTATTCATCTGAATGTTGCCTCCCTGGAGGTTTGACATGTCCTTCTCATGGCTTTAAACGCAGCTTCAAACAACCTGAGCATGAGTGACTGCAGCTGGGGGAGTTTTTAAAATGGCCCCAAGTTTTCCACTGAATTGTTCCATTATGTGATTCTTCCCAACAAACACGTTTAAGGTTCTGACATGTTACTTTTGTATGTGTTTTTCAAATTGCAGCAGCAAAAAGGGAGCTGCAGCTCGCCGCAGAAAGTAGATTGTCTCAGTCCGTACTGCTCACAAACCAAACTGTGCTCGTGGACAGACGCAAGTTGAAACAACGTACACTGTGGCGCAGACTGCATCTTTGGAGAAACTCTTAATGCTGAGGTCCACCCGGCAGCCCTGACACATGCAGCCAGGAGCCTGTAGAACCCGCTGTCCGACTGGAAGAATAAAATCATGAAATCTATTTGCCATCACGCTTCCTCGCACTCAACTGTTTGGTTCTCAGTATTTTTGTAAATAAAGTGTGACTCTTCAAACCATGTCAGTAGATCTGTTGTTCTTCAGAATCAATAAAGTTATCTATTTTCATTTGTGCAATTTTAAGGTCATTTATTCAACACTGCATTCTAACTGCAGAACTCAATTTAATATCCTGTTAATATATAAAATGGAATATAACTTTTTGTTTATATACTTTTATTTAAACAGGGATGTAACGAACACGTATATTTATAATGGATCAGTGTTTGGCACAAACCACTGATGTAGGACGTCATTTACAAATGATCCCAGCTAGCATATAGCATATGTCTATATATCTATATATCTATATGTCTATATGTATCTATGTCTATATATCTATATGTATCTATGTCTATATATCTATATGTCTATATGTATCTAGGTCTATATGTATCTATGTCTATATATCTATATGTATCTATGTCTATA